AATTAATATCATAGACCTTGGAGAGGAAGAAATATTAATTGGGTATAATTGGTTACAAGATTATAACCCTACCATCGACTGGCAAAAGAAAACTATACTCAGCCGAGAACCAGCGCGCAAGGTTGCTAGAGTACGACAAGAGACACGCCCAACGAATCAGAGCTCACCCAAGAACGGGAGATTTGGTAAGATCTCACCGCATAAGATCGCGAGAATCTATGCGAAGGACCCTCAGCAAGTAGGAGTCATATAGATAAGACAGGTTGCGACCAAGAAGGACGAACCCTTACCACTAAAGATACTAAAAGAGTATCAGACGAACGAGTTCAGAGAACTGTTCGAGGAAAACGAGGCAACAGACCTAGCTGAACACCAAGACTGGGATCACGAGATCGTCTTGGAAGAAGGAGCAAAGTTGACGCCAGGAGGGATGTATCCAATAGCGCCCGAGCACGATGCTGAGCTAAAAGAATACCTCCAAAAGAATTTGAAAAAGGGATTTATCCGACCAGGGCATGGCCCGATGGCCTCGCCAATACTGTTCGTAAAGAAAGCCAATAGGAAGTGGCGACTGTGCGTCGACTACAGAAGGCTAAACTCAGTTACTCGGAAGAACCGATATCCCTTACCACTAATAACAGAGCTCATGGATCGACTCCAGGGGGCTAAGTGGTTTACGAAGTTCGACGTCTGGGAAGGATTTTACCAGATCAGGATCAAGGAAGGAGATGAATGGAAAACGGCGTTTAAAACAAAATATGGACTGTACGAGTACACGGTAATGCCGTTCGGATTGACGAATGCGCCGGCAACCTTTTAGTCAGTCATTAACAGCGCTCTCCACGAATACCTCGGAATCTTCGCGACAGCATATCTAGATGATGTACTAGTGTACTCTAGAGGAACGCTTGAAGAACACGTTGAACATGTCAAGAAGGTCCTACGAAAGCTTAAAGAATACAAGCTGTACCTTCAGGCCGAGAAGTGTGAATTCCACACACAGGAAACGGAATTCCTGGGCTTTATTATCTCAATAGAAGGTGTTAAGATGAATCCAAAGAAAGTCTAGACTGTACAGGAATGGCTAAAACCCAAAACAGTCAAGGACGTGCAATCCTTCCTAGGATTCGCGAACTTTTACCGAAAGTTCATCAGGAATTACTCCCGGATTACAACACCTCTCACAGAGATCACCAAGAAGTTAGCCAGGTTCGTTTGGACAAAGTGGCATCAGGATGCGTTTTGCAAATTAAAACGAATGTTCCTCGAGGCACCCGTACTGGAGATGTACGATCCAAGACGGAAAACCAGAGTTGAGACCGATGCGTCCGATTACGCACTAGGAGCTGTACTGTCACAGCAGTGCCCAGATGGGAAATGGAGACTAGTGTTCTACCATTCACGAAAGTTCTTAGGAGCAGAACTAAACTACGATGTTCACGACAAGGAACTACTTGGAGTAGTCGACGCCTTTGAACAATGGGAGGTGTACCTGTTAGGTCTCCCAGACATGATCGAAGTATTCACCAATCACTAGAACTTAACGAGTTTCATGACGACCAAGAAACTCAACCAACGACAAGTTCGATGGGCCGAAATGCTCGCCCAATTCGACTTTAAGATAACCCATAGAGCCGGATCGCTCAACGGAGCCGCTGATGCTCTAAGCCGAAGATCCGACCTACGAGAAGAAGGACATACGGAGCCATATGACGCAGTACTCAAGCAGATGCCTGACGGAAGCTTGAGGTATAACAAGCCCGACCTAGTTAAGGTCAGCGTAGTAGCTCACCAAGTCACAACCCTTCAGCAACAGTGGCAAGAGAAGGCCACCCAATGGCGACAGGAACCAGAATATCCGCCAGAAGTAACAAACGATGGGAGAGAACTCACGGCTTTGAGAGAAGGAACACGAACGTACGTGCCTCCTCATATGAGAACAGAACTCATCAAATCCCTGCACGAGTCCCCAGAATACGGACATGCAGCGGTAGACGAAATAGTCAGGAGACTGAAAAGGACGTTTGATATACCACGCTTGCGAGCGAAGGTGTAGGAAGTCCTAGGCAACTATTTGGCATGTCACCAGAACAAGCCTAAGAGACATAAGCCCTACGGCCTGTTACAACCCTTGAAGCCACTAACTAGACTATGGAGCAGCGTAACAATGGACTTTATAGTGAAGCTCCCGAAATCGCTAGAACTAGGATTAGCACGATTTTGCGACAGCATACTAGTAATCGTCGACCGATTGACTAAAGCTGCGAAATTCGTACCCACGGAAGAGACTATTACGGCAGAAGAATGCGCGTACGAAGTCACCAAGGCACTCGTGTCGGAACACGGAGTACCCGAGGAATTCATCACGGACAGAGACAAGCTGTTCACGTCCTTGTATTGGATCACGCTCTTAGCAAAGCTAGGCGTCCAGCGAAAGCTTTCGACAAGCTTCCACCCAGAAACGGACGGCCAGACGGAACGTACGAACTAAACATTAGAGCAGTACCTCCAAATGTATGTCAATAAGCTGCAGGATAACTGGGTAGAGCTATTGCCAACGGCGCAACTAGCCTACAACAGCTCGAAATCCGCAATAACAAAGCACTCGCCTTACTATGCGAATTACGGCTACGAACCAACTGCCTATCGAGACCTGAAGGATATCGAAAGTATCGCGGTAGGAGCCGATAATAAGGCGCAACTCTTGAGAGAGCTGCACGAACAACTGAGCAAGAACATAGCCCAGAGGAACCTCACGTCATCCAATGCCGCGAATAAGCAAAGGATTGAGGGACTAACCTTTGAAGAGGGGGATAAAGTTTTCCTGTTAAGACAGAACCTGAAAACTAAACGACCAAGCAAAAAACTGGACAATCTCCGAATAGGACCGTTCGAAATCCTAGAGAAGGTAGGACTAGTAAACTACAAACTACGGCTACTACCAGGCATAAAGGTCCACCCCATATTCCACGTAAAACTTTTAGAACCAGCACCACCAGACGCCGAACTAGCAGAAAACGTAGAACTCGAGAACGATGAGTATAACGTCAAGGAAGTCAAGGACCTAAAGAAATTCGGAGGTCAGTGGAAATACTTAGTCAAGTGGCAAGGATGGCCAGAGAGCTATAACACTTGGGAACCAGAGGAAAATTTGACGAACTGCAAGTCACTGGTACGTGAGTACCATCGGAAAAATCCACAGAAGCGAGAATCGGATTCTCGTAGGAAAGGAAGTAATTAAGAGACAAAGGGTCGAAAGAAGAAGAACCAGCCTATAACCAGCCCGGGTCAGTCAAAGGTCTGGATAGCGATGGTCCGGTTGATGGAAGATTCGTACTAGGGGCAGAGCTCCCCTTGTCCTTCTCCTTCGCACGCTCTTGGAACGAGAGAACGGCAAGATCTCGACGAGCGAAAGAACGCTCCCGAGACTTCACCTCAAGGAGTTCCACCTCTTGTTGGGACAACTGCGTGTCCAGCCGAGCACGCTGAGCTCTTAAGCGAGCGACCTTAAGCTCCTTCTCCTTACGCTCCTGCTAAACCTTTTCCCACTCTTCCTCAGAAACAAACAAGCTACACTTAGCTTTCACTAAAATACAACTAGCACAACGGCCAGTGGCAGTGTCCAGGAAGCACTGAAGATTCTTCTCCTCGCAACGCTTGCAACAATAAGAAGTTATTTCGTGCCCCTGCCCTACTACACGATTAGCACGCGAATAACGCTCCTCGTTCGACTTTTGAGCGCGAACACGGGTACGGGAAGACGGGACCTTGGGCATGGTTAGGAAGGCTGGAGGGAAGGGACGGTTACAATGGCCTGGGGCCTACCGACCTTATATGCAGCCCACGCCTCAGAGACCGGCACGGGAAAACGATAACCCAGAGTATCGGGACGATACGCCTAAGAGGGGGGATAATGTTACAAGTAACAAGCAGAAGAATTCTTCCCCTAAAAGGAATGGCAAGTGGTTGGAGAATCACTTGGGATGACACCAAAGGCATGACGACAACCCCGCGGTGATCACGTGACGTGCCATCCCGCCAAGACGAGACATCCCGCCAAGACTGGGATGGCAGTGGGTCTTGGGATGGTATGCCATCCCAGACATCCCGCCAAGAGGCAGAAAGATGGGATGGACAGGATGGCAGGACTGGAAAGCAATGGGTATAAGAATGTGTTGGATTTCATTATTACACTCGTTGTGGTCAACTTATTATACTGTACTCTCTTACAAGTTCTTTACTTAACAAGATTGGTACTTTGTTATTCTATCTTACTATAGAATTGATTGTCTTTACTATCAGTTAAACCTCTATAACTCTTTTCCACTTGAATTACTCAGCAATCACACGGCTTACCACGAACCCGCTGACTCGCCCTAACCCGGATCGAGTCCTAGCTAAGTATAGTCGAACCCCGTGTAACACTTTGACCACCACCGAAT